ACTCTCGTACACTCTTGTCCCCTCCCATTCACACTCATACACTCTCATTCACTCTCGTCCACTATCCTATACACTCTTATCCCTTCTCATACACTCCCATACATTCTCATTCACTCTCATTCACTCTCTACCACTCTCATACACTCTCATACACTTGCCTACACTCATCCCCTCTCGTACACTGTCTTACACTTTTATGAGCTCTCATCCACTCTCATACACTCTCGACCCCTCTCATACACTCCCACACACACTCATAAATTTTCATCCATCCTCATCCACTCTCATACACTCTCATCCCCTCTCATCCCCTCATACACTCTCATACACAATTTTTCACTCTCATCCACTCTTATGCACTCTCAAACACTCTCATCCCCTCTCATCCACTGTCATATATACTCTCATACACTCTCATCCCCTCTCATACACTCTCATACCCTCCCGTCAACTATCATATACACTCTCATACCCTCTTATCCACTCTCATCCCCTCTCATCCCCACTTATCCACTCTCATATACTCTCATACACTCTCATCCCCTTTCATCCACTATCATATACACTCTCGTACACTCTCGTACCCTCCCATTCACACTCATACACTCTGATTCACTCTCATCCACTATCCTATACACTCTTATCCCTTGTCATACACTCCCATACACTCTCATTCACTCTCATTCACTCTCTACCACTCTCATCCACTCTCATTTGCCCCATTCCTTCTCATCCCCTCTCACACACTCTCATCCCCTCTAATTCCCTCACATTGCCTCTCATTCCCTCTCATTCCCTCTCACACATTCTCATTCCCTTTCATCCCCTCACATTGCCTCTCATTCCCTCTCATTCCCTCTCACACACTCTCATTCCCTTTCATCCCCTCACATTGCCTCTCATTCCCTCTCATTCCCTCTCACACACTCTCATGCCCTTTCATCCCCTCACATTGCCTCTCATTCCCTCTCATCTCCTCTCACACACTCTCATTCCCTTTCATCCCCTCACATTGCCTCTCATTCCCTCTCATTCCCTCTCACACACTCTCATTCCCTTTCATCCCCTCACATTGCCTCTCATTCCCTCTCATTCCCTCTCACATACTCTCATTCCCTTTCATCCCCTCACATTGCCTCTCATTCCCTCTCATTCCCTCTCACACACTCTCATTCCCTTTCATCCCCTCACACACTCTTATTCCCTTTCATCCCCTCACATTGCCTCTCATTCCCTCTCATTCCCTCTCACACACTCTCATTCCCTTTCATCCCCTCACATTGCCTCTCATTCCCTCTTATTCCCTCTCATTCCCTCTCATCCCCTCTCAATCCCTCGCATTCCCTCACATTTCCCTTTCATTACCTCTCATCCACTCTCATTCCCTCTCATCTTCTCTCATTAACTCTCATCCCCTTTCGTCCCCTCTCATTCCCTCTCATACACTCTCATACGCTCTCATCTCCTCTCATCCTATCACACACTATCATTCCCTCTCATCTCCTCCTATTCACTCTCATCACCTCTCTGGTCCTGGTCCCCGTGCCTATCATATACACTCTCATACCCTTTCATCCACTCCCATCTCCTCTCATCTCCTCTCATCCCCTCTCATCCCTTCTCATAAAATCTCATACATTCTCATACACTCTCATCCCCTCTCATCCTATCACGCACTCTATCATTCCCTCTCATCTCCTCCCATTCACTCTCATCACCTCTCTGGTCCTGTTTCCCCGTGCCTATCATATACACTCTCATATCCTCTCATCCACTCCCATCTCCTCTCAACCCCTCTCATAAACTCTCATGCACTCGCATCCCCTCTCATCCACTATCATATACAATCTCGTACACTCTTGTCCGCTCCCATACACTCTCATACACTCTCATTCACTCTCATCCACTATCCTATACACTCTCATCCCTTCTCATACACTCCCATACAATCTCATTCACTCTCATTCACTCTCTACTACTCTCATACACTCTCACACACTCACATCCCCTCTCATACACTGTCATACACTCTTATGAGCTCTCATCCACTCTCATACACTCTCATACACTCTCATTCGCCCCCATTCCCTCTCATTCCCTCTCACACACTCTCATTTCCTTTCATCCCCTCACCTTGCCTCTCATTCCCTCTCATTCCATCTCATACACTCTCATTCCCTCACATCCCCTCTCATACCCTCTTATCCCCTCTCACAAGCTCTCATTTCCTCTCATCCCCTCTCATTCACTCTCATTCCCTCTCATCCCCTCTCATCCCCTCTAATCCCTTCTCATCCCCTCTCAAACATTGTTTTACTCTCTCATACCCTCTCATCCTCTATCATACACTCTCAACCACTCTCATCCCCTTTCATCCACTCTCAACCACTCTCAGCCCCTTTCATCCACTCTCATCCATTCTCATCACCTCTCTAGTCCTGGTTCCCTGTTCCTATCATCCCCGCTCATGCCCCGTTATCTTCCCGTGCTCATTATCCATCAGAGCTCTTGGCACTTGGGATCAGCGTCATGTCTCACCCAATGCAAGCCAGGTGAGGTCTGGCCCATGTATTTAGGGTTGACCCATGCAGATCCTAATATTCTTGGTTGGCATTACGATGCTTCGTACGCTCCATTGTAATGCCAGATTTCACACACAAATTGCAATCTGATGTTCCTTGATCTCTATTTCGTTTGGTGCACTAGTCATGTCGATATGCAGGAGTTCGGCGTATGCAACATATTAAAGGGGAAGGTTTATCCATCAGCCGCAGAAGCGAGGGAGGATGTTTGGTTGTATTGTCGGCAAAATATGATTAGGGAGTTCTACTATTTTAGTTGCGAAAAACACATCGAGGTATGGTGCAACTCGATGCAAAATTTGAGTTGGCTAGGTGGAGAGGTAAGCCGCAAAGATGCGTTATGTCCATTTTGCATTGTCATACACAGGTCCAAAAACGGTACCATGAAGGTCTCGGTAGCAAGTTTGAGTCATGCCGTCGGATGTATAGCTGGTGCCAGAAGAGATATGAAGAAAGCAGTCGGAGTGTTTACAAGGGAGACGATACATCACCATGACGATGACGGACCCACCAAGAGTGCCGGATATATCGGTGGCCGAGGACGCGTGCAGGTTGAGGACTGCGAAGGTCAAGGCTGCAAAACACACATGGAAGGTTCAGGAGAACGGATGGCGAAAGGAGATGAGAAGGCAGGCGGTGACTTAGTGCATACACATATAAATGTTATCTGAAGTGACGGTTAGAGGGTGGGTAAATTGGTGTGGGCGGCTATAAATGGCTGGTTAGACGGTGTTGTGAATGAGGTATATGGGACGAGAAGCGTGGTGTGGAGAAATTTCATTGTCAATTTGGACGGTTCAGAGCTGGGAAGTTCTGCGAGCATGGTTTCGGGTAGAAGTGTGGCTTCTCCGTGGGACACCACGCTGATCAGATCATTCAAATATATATATATATATATATGTCTGGCATTGTATGCAATTTCACTACCGTATTCTCCCGGACATAACAGCCTAGGGTATAGCTAAAAATACAGGGAAAAAATGGGGGGGGTCTCCTCAAAGGAAAAAAATACAGAATACCCGGGTCTTTACATATGGTATATTTTAGTGTTAGTGTTTATTTGATTAGACAATATGGGTGTTTTGATTTTCATTTTAACATCACTGTCTGAGGCGCGAATGTGAGTTTCGGCCACGAACTTCATCACCCCTACAAAAATGCCATGTGGCACCTCTCTTGCCACTTGCAGCGGAAGATTCGCCTGCAAGTGGCGACTGCGAAGTAGTGGGAGGGGGGAAATCTCGGTAGATTGTAAGTGAATGTACCGCGAAATTTCATCTAGGGATAAATTTTTGTGATATTCTTCCGTATTGCAGCTACTCGTTAACGACTATAATGACGAATTCGTAAGAAAAGGCGGCTGTTATAGAAAATCAGCCAAAAAGGGGGGTATAGTAGAAACGAGGTCTATCATAACACCCACCCCGCACAAGCTATCCGGGGGTGTACAATTACGGGGGGGGGGGGGGGGGGGTGTTTTGTCCAGGAGAATACGGTACTCTCATCATTGCATACTGTCGTGCAGGATTCGAACCATTCGTACCAAACACCAACTCTGCTGTCATCAATTGCACATGTACAAAACTGCACCGTCCAAGACCATGAGACATACATATATAAGTTGACACGATGACCGTATGTACCATGTCAACCCCTGCAGCAATAAAGGAAAGTCATAAAGCTAGCAAGAGCAACTGTCCCACGCACTTCTTACCCCCACAACAGGGTGTCCTTGTATGGAAACAGAACAACACTTATGGTTAGGATAAAAATGGCAAGACATAATTGAGCAGTTTAACACGCATGAATCTAACCGCTTGCCCAAGCATGATTGGAGACCAAGTGGATGAGGGTAGGCCTGCCAGACTATGATCAAACTAGATGAAAAACGCTCATGACTCCTTGAGGTCAACTTACCGTACTACTACGGTTACCATGCATAGTACCATAGTCCCAAGTGCAGTATCTACAAGGACCTGCTACTGTTATTTGTCCATGTTGGCAATGAGATCTAGTGTCCATTCCATGCATTAACCCCGTAACCTACTGATGGAGTGGCATGCCGATATGACCGTACGGTATTGTTACAAACATTCCACCAGGCCATAACAGGTATGTACATAACACGCCTTGTCAACCATTGCCGTGATTTAGGGTAGGTAATTCATTCAACAACTCCCTTGCTCACCTTCCTACCCCACAACGTCCTGTAAAAAATGGACACACTGAACAAGACAAACAATAGAAAGAAGTAACTAGAGGATGTCGAGCAAATGATATTGCTTATCTTAACTGTTGAATATTGGTACCATACGCTTGCATGAGAGTATTTTTGTGACGGTGCAGAGCCACGAATACAAGCTATCAAACCAGTTGCAGAGCGCTTTTGAAGTCAATCAAGTAACCATGACTACAATATTATGCATAGCCCACAAGTTCGTACTGGAAAGAGCTATAACTGTTCTCGTCCCCCTGTTGGCACGGCGTCCTTTTGTGCATACCAGGCACGGACCCCTCAACCTCCTGTTGCAATGGCATGCCCACATGGCTCCAACGTTGCGTCAGGCCTGCAACATTCCCGTGCATTGGCATTCCCACGCGTCCCCATCGTTGGTTAAGGGGTTGAACGTACCCATTTTGCCCTTGTAATTCTTCTTGGGACCCAAGTTGGCCACTCGTATCCTGCAGCCCTCCCATACCCTGCTGCCCTCGCAACCCCGCCTGTCCTTCGCTCCCCTGATGCCCTGTCATCCCGTGCTGCCTGGCCATTCCCTGCTGCCCACCCAGTCCCTGCTGCCCTCCCAACCCCGCCTGTCCTCCGCTCCCCTGCTGCCCTGTCATCCCGTTCTGCCTGGCCATCCCTTGCTGCCCTCCCATCCCCTGCAGCCTTCCCATCCCCTGCAGCCCTCCCATCCCCTGCAGCCCTCGCAACCCCGCATGTCCTCCACTCCCCTGCTGCCTTGTCATCCCCTGCAGCCCTCCCATCCCATGCTGCCCTCCCACACCCGCCTGTCCTCCCCCCCCCCCTGCTGCCCTCCCATCCCCTGCAGCCTTCCCATCCCCTGCAGCCCTCCCATCCCCTGCTGCCCTCGCAACCCCGCATGTCCTCCGCTCCCCTGATGCCTTGTCATCCCCTGCAGCCCTCCCATCCCCTGCTGCCCTCCCACACCCGCCTGTCCTCCCCCCCCCCCCCCCCTACTGCAGTGTCATCCCATGCTGCCTTGCCATCCACTGCAGCCCTCCCTGGAGCCCTCGCAACCCCGCATGTCCTCCACTCCCCTGCTGCCCTGTCATCCCATTTTGCCTGGCCATCCTCTGCTGCCCTCCCATCCCCTGCTACCCTCCCATCCCCTGCTGCCCTCCCATCCTTTGCTGACCTCCCAACCCCGGCCGTCCTCCCCATTCCCTGCTGCCCTCTCAACCCCTGCTGACCTTCCATCCCTTCCAATCTGCTCCCACCATTTTGTTCCATCTGTTCAGCTCCACCCTGCTGTTCCGTGGAAGACCGAGATCCATATCTGCCTCTGCCTCTCCCTCTCCCTCTCCCTCTTCCCTGTTGCCCTGTGCTTGCATGGCGTCTCCTGCCTCTGCCCCTACCTTCAGTTGTTGCACGTTCCTCTCCTGCCTGTCTTGCCACATCACGCTGCAGGAGTAATCCCTGCATCCACCGTATACGCCCTGCAACCACGTCCTCTGCAGTCCTCAGCCCTTCCACCCGCTCGGCCACCGAAGTATAAGACACTCGTCCCGCCTGACTCTCTTGTGTGATGTCTATCTGTGTTGCCCCATAATTTTCTGTTTGAGTGGGTAAGTCTAGGTTCGTGGTTGTGCGTTCACCAAGACCAACATCACCAGCGGTTCCTGGATCCCTACCAAACACCTCGATCAGCTCCCCACCATATGTCACAGTATCGCGATCATCCCGTCCCTCCTCATCCACTTCACCAATCCCTTCCACCAAATCGAAACTCCCATCATCCTCGCTGCACGACTCTTCCTCCACATCACCCGACTGTCCTTGTCGACGCATGGCTTGACACCTAATCCCTCTGTGTTGAATTCGATTGCAAGCGCTGCACAGGGCTACATGCTCTGCACCATCTGTGTCCGTCATTGTTTGCATTGTCAATTGCGCTATGGGGGTTTGCAAAGGCTCCCACAACACATTGTTGGCTGCACGAACCTCGCATGTTCGTGCATTATGACCGTACTCACCGCACTTTCCACACTTGCGCAACTTGATTGGGTCCATCTCTCCTGTGGACTGCATTCTTCACTTTGGTGGCCGACCTGCCTTCTTCTTGTAGACTAGAGAGGGTAACACCGTCAGGGACCATAGAGGTTGGGTCGAGGAGTCGAACTGGCGTTCTGTACACTTGTTGCAATGCAGAAGTTGTGTGGTATTTCTGGATCACTGCGTGCGCCCTGTGACCATCAATTTTTAACACAGCGAAGATGTGTACGCATGGCAGCCCGTATTCCCTGTTTTTGGGATAAATGGGCGATGAGGTAAAAAGGGATTAACGCATTATCAAACTATCATTATTCTTGTAAATATACAAACTGTGCCCTCCCTTGGGTTTGGGGAAGTAAAGACCTGTGTAAGGGGTAAAAGAAGAGAGGGTATAAACTGTTCATTGAATAGCTACAAACCAGCAGGATTTTATAACACACATGAACACATGGCTTAAAGAAGCCCACATTCAGCAAATATGATTACGGCAAGCATATGTACACACGTCACTTTGGCGACCTTATTCCCCTGCATGTGCAAGGTAGATGGTCAGGGGGATAGGGCAGTCCTCAATATTTTGGGATAAATGGGGTCTGAAATTTAGAGTGGGTACATTATGAGGCTTGATCTTGCATGACTTTGAAAAAGCTAATGAACACAATATTCATGGCTGAGTTGGATCAAGTATACACCAATGAAGCATACGCTAGCAATGGTAAAAACAGAACCTAAACACCACTTACTTGGTGTAGCCACATGAGCAGTGGGTGACTGTAGGATCCTCAAGGTTTGTGGTCACGACTCACCTCTCCTCCCCTTGGCATACTATGTACTCGTTCTGTCCTGATTCAGCCACCCTGTATCTTTTGCCCTCATCGCGATTCCCAAGGACTATTGGCTTTGTCCTGGGAGAGAAGTCAGCGGCTGTCATCTCAGAGTACAATCGGCGCCTCTCTTCGATCTTCGTCGATAGCTTAGTTGCCAAGCCTAGCAGCACCTGCGACGGATTCTTATCCCGCAATCCCCAAAGCGACGCATGGTGAGACTCAACGGGATTAGAAGAAAAGCGTCTATAACGCGGTGCTCCAAAATAAGCTGTCGCCCACTTAACACCCAATCCATTATCCACAAGGTACGAGGATCCACCGGGACATTCCATCTCAAAATTTTCCATTGTCTTGAGGTACACAAGCAATGTCAGAGCCGCTGCTGCTGCTAGAATTTGTCCGTCCAGATCTGTCCTGAACTTATTTTTGAAGTTTCATACCAAATGGGTGATGCAAATCCCGTATGAGGGGGAGACAAGTGGATGTGGCGGATATCTATGCCCATCCACTATCATGCATCATCACAAAGTTAGAGGAGTTCACCTTCGGAACGACCTCCAGCAAGAGATTGAATAGGAAAGCACATGCATGCTTGTTTTCACCCTCCACCCATGCACACCCCAACATAACAAGTTTTTTTTGGCTATCCAACATGCATATGTTCAGGGTGTATCCCCCCCATGCGGTCTTGTTATGGCATCCATCTGCAAAAATGTTCGGCAGGCAGTTCATAACCGCATTTCTCGCCCCTAGAAAAATAATTCCCTCACGGTAGAAGTTATTTCCCCGTCTGACCATGGACACAACAGATGAAGGGTTATCATCCTTGAACTTTCCTAACAGGTCCTCCATGTATTGAAACCCATCGTCTCCACAAAACGGATCCGCATTCCTCAGCTCAAATAGCACCTCGCGCGCAACCATGTACGAGCACTCCACACGCAAAACCGCCCTAACACGACTTATCAACGCATGAGGTCTCACGTCACCATGCTTTTGCATCTCACGCGCAACGTCTTTGACCTCATCCCTCCGAATCCTTGCAGCATCGGTGACACACCTATCGGTGTGATCCAAATTCGCCTCCGTGACCCGCAGGTTACTATAGCACGGTCCCCGTATGACAACACGAAATAGACACATCCCTTCTCCGATGTGCACCTCCCCACGATGCCATACCTTGCCCTCCATGGACTTGCACCACACCTCAATGAGATTCGATCGATTATAGCGGAAATACGGAGCAAACGTCTGCTGCCTACAGTACAACCGCACCTCCTCCCTTGCTGCTACAACAGTTGGGTAGAGCTTCCCCTTGTAAATGTTGACAGCATCATCTTCCTGCACATCAAAATTGCTACAGAACCAAAAGATAATGGATCGAGGGGATACCACACGGAAGTTTGCAAGTTATCAAATACAATTCTTGTTTGGAAATGAACGATGGCTAATATTAACAATGCACTTCAGCTTATTTCATGCTTAACATGGGTATTCAACATCAACCTCTCACCTTGAACGTATGAGGTGAAACATGATGTCCCTCACGACCGCCACAAGCTCTGTTGGAGAATACGACCATGCGGAAATAAAGTTGAGAGAATGTAAGGGGGTAAATTGAGCGCCTTTCAAGAGTTAGGGGCATGATTCGGAGACAAGAGAGAATGTCAAATAAAACAGAAATTTTGTGAGAAATAGAGGGTTGCAAAGGGGACCGGTTGATGATGGGAGGAGATGGGGAAGAGTGTATGAGAGTATAGGAGAGGGTATGAGAGTGTATGAGGGGGGATGAGAGTGTATGAGAGTGTATGAGAGGGGATGAGAGTGTATGAGAGTGTATGAGAGTGGATGAGTGGGAATAAGAGTGGATGAGAGTGTACGAGAGGGGATGAGAGGGGATGAAAGGAAATGAATGTGCATGAGAGTGTATGAGAGTGGATGAAAGCGGATTAGGGGGTATGAGTGTGTATGAGAGGGGATGAGAGTGTATGAGAGGGGATGAGAGTATATGAGTGTGTATGAGAGGGGATGAGAGTGTATGAGAGTGTATGAGAGTGGATGAGTGGGAATAAGAGTGGATGAGAGTGTATGAGAGGGGATGAGAGGGGATGAGAGAAAATGAGTGTGTATGAGAGTGCATGAGAGTGTATGAGAGTGGATGAGAGCGGATTAGGGGGTATGAGTGTGTATGAGAGGGGATGAGAGTGTGTAAGATAGTGGATGAGAGGGGATGAAAGTGAATAAGAGTGTATGAAAGTTTATGAGAGAGGATGAGAGGGGATGAGAGTGTATGAGAGTGTATGGGAGTGTATGAGAGTGTATGAGAGGGAATGAGAGGGGATGAAAGGGGATGAAAGGGGATGAGAGGGGATGAGAGGGAATGAGAGGGGATGAAAGGGCATGAAAGGGTATGAGACGGGATGAGAGGGAATGAGAGTGATGAGAAGGAATGAGAGGGAATGAGAGGGAATGAGAGGGAATGAGAGGGAATGAGTGTGGATAAGTGGGAATGAAAGGGAATATGAGTGAATGAGAGTGAATGAGAGGGGATGAAAGGGAATGAGAGTGTGTGAGGGGATGAAAGGGGATAAGAGAGGATGAGAGGGGATGAGAGAGAATGAGAAGGGATGAGAGTGTATGAGAGTGAAAGGGAGTGTATGAGAGTGTATGAGTGTGTATGGGAGTGTATAAGAGGGGATGAGAGTATATATGATAGTGTGTGAGTGGGTATGAGAGGGTATGAGAGTGTATGAGAGTGTATGGTAGGGAATGAGATGGGATGAGAGGGGATGAGAGTGGATGAGGAGGGATGAGAGTGTGTAAGAGAGTGTATGACAGTGTATGCGAGTGTATGAGAGGAGATGAGAGGGGATGAGACGGGATGAGACGGAATGAGAGGAAATGAGAGTGTATGAGAGTTAATGGGAGTGTATGATAGGGGATGAGAGTGTATGAGAGTGTAGGAGAGTAAATGAGTGGTTGAGAGTGTATGAGAGGGGATGAGAGTGTATAAAATAGTGGATGAGAGGGGATGAGAGTGAATAAGAGCGTATGAGGGTTCATGAGAGAGGATGAGAGGGGATGAGAGTGTATGAGAGGGAATGAGAGTGTATGAGAGGGGATGAGAGTGAATGAGAGTCTATGAGAGGGAATGAGAGGGGAGTGAATGAGAGTCTATGAGAGGGAATGAGAGGGAATGAAAGGGGATGAAAGGGGATGAGAGGGGATGAGAGGGAATGAGAGTGATGAGAAGGAATGAGAGGGAATGAGAGTGGATGGATGGGAATGAAAGGGAATATGAGTGAATGAGAGGGAATGGGAGGGGATGAAAGGGAATGAGAGTGTGTGAGGGGATGAAAGGGGATGAGAGTGTATCGGAGTGTATGAGAGTGTATGAGAGTGTATGAGAGTGAATGAGGGTGGTTGAGAGTCTATGAGAGTGTATGCGAGGGGATGAGAGTGTATGAGAGTGTTTGAGAGTGAACGAGAGGGGTTGAGAGGGGATGAGAGTGGATGAGAGTGGATGAAAGGGGATGAGAGTGTTTCAGAGTGTATGAGAGTGAATCAGAGGGGATGGGAGGGGATGAGAGTGTATTAGAGGTAATGCGAGGGGATGAAAGTGAAAAAGGGGATGAGAGGGAATGAGAGGGGATGAAAGGGGATGAAAGGGGATGAGAGGGGATGAGAGGGAATGAGAGTGGATGAGAGGGAATGAGAGGGGATGAAAGGGGATGAAAGGGGATGAGAGGGGATGAGAGGGAATGAGAGAGGATGAGAGGGAATGAGAGGGAAGGAGAGGGGATGAGAGGGAATGAGAAGGAATGAGTGTGGATAAGTGGGAATGAGAGAGAATATGAGTGAATGAGAGTGAATGAGAGGGGATGAAAGGGAATGAGAGTGTGCGAGGGGATGAAAGGGGATGAGAGTGTATCAGAGTGTATGAGAGTGTATGAGAAGGAATGAGAGGGG